CTTATAATATTTAAAATTATTAGATACAAATTACTTTAATAATGGACAATATTAAAAACATTTAGATAAACTACCGGAATATGGAATGTTAAATTCAGCCAACTACAGATGGTCACTGCACATTGGAACTGGAACAAAGCCTTTTGCTTCAAGTTGTATACTAAAAGCAAACTTATCATGAATCTTCTAAAACATTTATTATGATTAGGTTAGCAATGACCGTAAATTAGCAGCGACTTGTCTACTCCTCTACTTAAGCAAATGTGCTGTCTTCGTCTATCGATTAGGTGGAAAAGGAGAAGGGTGTTGGAATGGACTCGTTGCAAACTAATATACCTGTCGTTTAAGGTTGTCTGGGTTGCTTACAATTATAATGTTAATATACTGGTAATGCTTCCTATATTCCAAAACAAGTAGAATAATGGATCTAACTACCTAGTGGCTTTCTCTTTATACATCTGTCAAATATATTATAAAACTATTTTTTTTTTTAAAGGATTTTTGGGTTAGCTAATAATTGATCTATTTTTTTTTCTATACATATTTTCTTTACAAGAATTTGACGACAGAGGTGACTAATTTTTTTTTTTTATCAGATTAAACAAATAATCCTACATGTTCAATTTAAGGTTAGGAAAATAAATAAAATATTTCTGGATAACAATCCATGGCAATATTTAAAAAAAATATAAAAATAAAATAAATTAAAAAAAAAGGTCCTAATCAGATGATTGTATTTTCATGAATCAGAACAGAGTAGACAATATAAGGAAAAATAATGGGGAAATAAAAAAAAAAAATGCAATATAAATAAATGTGATTGTAATTAAATATTGAATTAAGATTAAAATTGAAACATGCGCATGCCAAAAGACCAATAATAAAAGTAACGTGCATTATGCAAATCTGATCATTTGAACTTGTTTTAAAATAATAAAAAGTAATAGTATTTGATTTGTGAATATATTTTGTAAAAAGAGTCATGACTTAAAAAAATACTTTTTTTTATCAAGTTTTAGTTTTACGGTTGGTTCTTTGATGAAAAAGAATTAAAGATTGAATTCCATACTTAATAGAATTATTCAATAGAATCTTGTTGCCTTCTAAAATATGACTTTTTAGTAAATTAATATAAATTATGTATAATTATAAAATATATGATTTAGTAGAAAAAGGCCTTTTTAGTCTCGATAAAAAATAACTTTATTTTTAAATAAAGTAACTTTTATTAAAAATTTATTTTTTATCGAAACTAAAGAGGTTTTTTTCTACTAAAGCGTAATTTAGTTTCTTTCCCAAGATCATCTTTTATTAAAAATATATGATCAATATAATTTTATAATCGAATTAGTGTTTTTACAAACAAACTTATCACAATTATGTTAACCAAATAATTTAACTAGACATGCACACATTTAAAAAAAATAAATAAATAAAACCTGTACCATTAACACCCATGAAGAGTATTGTTTTCAGTACAAGAAGTACTGTTTCTAAGCCAACAGTCGGCAAGGAGGTGATTTGGCTGGAATCACACTCAACCGTTAGGTTTTCCCCAATTAAGACTACCTATGTTATAGAGGCTGGTTGTGCCTCAGGAGTGTCACACGATTACAGAAAGCAAATTCACTTTAACTAAAAATATACCTAAAGATTTAAGAATTGAATACCATTAATGAAGAAAAGCCAATCAAAATTGAACAATAACAAACTGTACATTTCCTGTTCACTGTATCAACTAATTTTTTACTTTATGATGTTTTTATTCAAATTTAAACAGTATACTTCAAGCTTAAAAGATATTAAAATCTGAAAGTAAAATAGGATAGGAAATTAACATTTAAAGTAAGAAATTAAAAAAATATTCCAGCTTTTATGCATACAGGATTTATATAAGGTACATTTACATACATAATTTTTAGTTTATTTAAATCTTTAATTAGTTTATAGATCTCTAATTAATTAATGACTTTGATCAGATTTGCAAATATCAAATTTTCAACTTTTATAGCTAAACATGCTAGCCTCTCTAGCAAACAATAGTTATTGAACTCAGCAATATTTAAGCATTGGTTATTAAACTTCCCATCCCTCCCTAAGTCTAAATTTGAGCAAATCTGTCTTTGTGAAAGTTTATATGCATGTGATAATGGTAAAAAAAAACCAAAAGTAAAATTGAAATGTTTATTTAGTTATACTATACCTTAGTTGCGGAGGAATGCCTCAAGAGTGAAATTGAATATTGAAAAGCTTAAGCAAGGGAGGATTAATTATTGAAGCTGGCTATAATGTACTATAGATGGCAGGACGGTCAAGGGCTAAATGACTAGTTACATATGAGACATTGAATGCAAAAGTAGTACAAGCCATAAACTGAAACTTTGAGATCTTCAACACTTCAATAAAGGTAGATTTAGAATAAAAATCTCTCACTTAAATATGCTCAATTTCAAGCATATCCAACTACTTCAAAGTGTGAATTTAATAAATTATTTATTATGAAAGTGATTTAAATTACATTTTTGCATAAAACCGCTCATATGTAAGTTGTTTCAGCTCACAAGTGAATGATAAATAAATAATTTATGCAGCTACTTTTACTTTTTAAGCAAATTTTAATCATCATGGTATGGTCTTATGTCAATTTATTAAAATTTTGAGAGGGGTAATGTTCTAACAAAACAGATAACAAAAGGTTTAAAAATTAATGAATTATTCAATTCTGAAAGAAGAAGAAGGTAGGGTTTATGATAATATAAATTGATTTATTCTTGATTTCATCTATCTTTAGAATTTGATTCATTGATTGATCCTTTGACTAATGCCAAGTGTTTAATTTTTAAGAATTAAATGACAGTAGGAAACTATCAAACCAATATTCCAAATATCTTGTTTTCACTTTTCATCATGATAGCTTAAATTATTTTCAGTTTAAGTACCCAATAATTAAATGCCTATAAACTGATATATAGAATGGCTTTACTTTGGGACCAAAGCTTACAAGATGAATTGGCTGCCTCTTGTGATTACTGATACACGAGGCAGTGCAAATTAGAGCAGGAGTGCCAATGGTTACTCCATGACTATTGGGTTTTGCAAGAACTGTGCGTGTGACTATCAGGCAAAACTGCAAACAGCTTTGGTAAGGAAGTTCACACCATATGTCTCTGGTAAGGTTTTCTAGAAACTGCCAAATACATAGTGATATACACGTTGGTTAGAAACAGGAATACACTAAGTAGAAACATGGGTATCTAGACTCTCATTGAAAGTGATTTTCCCTTCCTCGTAAAACAAGAAGATTTCAAAGAGTTTGTGTCCGAGTCGATACACTAGTGGATTCTGACCACTACAACCTTGGAGCTCCTAGATTAAAGTGGTGGCAGTCTCATGTAGTAATCCCCTTCAGACAAAGGCCATCTTGAATTTTAAGGAGTTCAATTGTAAATGTGAATAAGGCAGAGAGATAGCTTAATAGATGTACCATTCATTTCAATACCCATTCTTAAATCCAGTATTGCACTAAGGCAATGTAGCATGTGAATAAATAAATTATTTTGGAGGTTCTACTTCACTGCTACTACTCTTACTTGTGGTCAATGCATATTTTTCATTTTACCAGTAACTCTCCTAAACTAAGCCAGAAGATGGTAGAGTGGGATGAGTTTGCAATGGAGAAACTGTCTGGCATAATCACTATATATATATTTATAAAGGATTTTTATAACAGCTCATTTAGTTAGAAATAGCAAAAATTTTTTCCACTTAATGTGTAAGTCATTTATTTTCACGGTACCAATAAATTTGTTAAAAATAAATATATTACCCTTTATTTCCCAAATAAAATTGATGATGCAAATCCAAAATAACCAACTTGACACTGACTTATCCCGAGTAATAAAATAAAAAAAACTGAAGTCCTCTGTACTTCTGATGGATATTTGATGTCGTATTTTTGAGTCTGATCTATTAGGAACATTTCTGTGTGAACCCCCACTACCCAAAACCATCACTGATACATATATATTCAGCTATTTATAGGTATGGTTATCAAAATAATTCATTTACTTTTAGTTCTCGCGGGGAGAGAAAAAAGAAGAAAAATATATCAAAGCCACTCATCAACATCATTTTTCAATGAAAATATTGGTTACTAGTAAATATTACAGAAGCTAGAAATAAGGGATTAATTTCATGATATAAAAAAAAACATTAAATGTGTAATTTGAACAGACAAATCAAAGTGCAAAACTTTATTCATTAGATCATACTGTATCATGTTTTATTAAGAAAAAAAAAATTACTGAGAAAATTCACTTAAAAAGTTTGGAAAAAAGTGTATCCAATAACATCAGAATAAAATATGTTTTAAAACAAGTCGTTTACTACAGAAAATGATTAATCGATTTAATAAAAGAAAGTCTTAAAAGTCTTAGGTTTTAAATTATGATTTCTAGATTGAAATAAACTCTATCACATACTTGGTGAGGGATAAAGCTAGTTTAGATCATATTTTTTAGTTAATTTAACTTATATTTATTATATCTGTGCTTTTATCATTCTTTTTATTAGTTATGCCATAATTTGTATTAGTTATTTGAGGTTTAACATCTTTATATACGCATACTAGAACAAGAAGGACATGCTATCTTACAAATTATCAATCTATTTTTGTAATTTAATATACATTTTCAAATTGTAGTGAGCTGTGTTAAAGTAAAGTGATTTTTCATTTATTTAGGTTAATATGTCAAAAATTCAGCTGCAAAAAAGTTAATGTCTCTTACTAGGTCCTGACCATCAGACATAGCTACATTTTTTCAATGGAACATTTATTTTATTTAATATTATCCAATAGCCAGCCAAATAATAATGAGGAAATTTGTGGTCATAGCAAAGCAAAAAAATAAAATAAAATAAATAAATAAAAAAATTAAATAAAATAGGCAAAAATAATGAGAAAATAAAGGTTGGAAGGAAAAGGTGAAGGTGACATATACCTGAAAAACTGTGACTAGCGCCCAAAGCAGGGAGTCAAAGTTCTTTCTGTCACAAGTTTCACTTCCCTCCTTTCTGTCGCAAAACTTGCATCCGAATAGGTTCATCCCAAGAATACTAAACAAGCGAGTTATCCGTGCTCAAAAACAAAACAATTAAGAAGAAAAGATAAGAAAAGAAAATCCTGCCGAGGCCATGTAGTTTAAATGGCTTAGAGCTTGTGCATCATAAAAGTAAAACTTTAAATTACAATTATAAATTTTGAGGAATAGTAAGTAAATTAAACTATGTTAATGTTAAATTTTTTATTTTAGCAGTATTATATATGATTAGAATAATAAAATATTTCATCAATTCACCAGGTGTGGTAAAGAGTTTTCATAACTTTTAGTTCATTGAAACATAAATTGAACTTTCAATTATTTTAAGATAAATACATCTTTACAAAAAAAAAAAAAAAAATTTGAAAAATTTAACCTACTAAATAAAGTGCCAGTTTTAATATATTATCAGAGATGCTCAAGCTAGAAAACCAAATTTATTCCGAAGCAATTGCTTCACTAAGCAGTTATCTATTGTTTATAAAAAAATAAAAATAAAATAAATTATGAACCCAAGGAAATAAAAAAAAAAGAAATGAACAAAAACTTGATGAAGTAAGAAAAAGTAGATTGATAAAGACTTTTAAATTATTGGAGCAACCGACAGGACAATTTCTTCAGCAGCTGCCTAAAGCTACAGAAAGCGTGATGTAGTTACTTGACTTTGGTCAGGTCCATTTCTAAGAAATCAAAGCTTGATCAATTTACTAAAAACTAATGTGAGTTCTTAACCATCCGAGTACCATAGTTCTCATGAAACACTAAGTATCTTTTGGGACCCCAAACTAATTTTTTCCAATTTCAATCTCACATTAATGAATGAATAGGAAGTTAAAACTTGGTTGGTATTTCCACAGGTTTTTGGGTGGTGATAATCAGGGGTACCCATTCCTCCCAAGGCTGATCGCCATAAATCTTCTCCCACCCCTTTCAAGATGTTTTATTCCTCTCTTCTTTTTAAAAACAGTGCAAACAAAAGTAGAATTTGAATATTCCTAGATTATATACCATTACACATTCTATGGTCTGTTCCATGATCCCACTTTTCTTTTGATTTGAAACTTTTCAATTAAAAAAATTCACACCATCGAAATGTGCCCCCTCCAAAATTGAAACCCCATCAAAAAGTTCCCCTCTCAATAATTTTGATGGCGCAACTTGAGCCATAAAACCCCTTTTTGGGCACCTCTGGTGATAATGAATTTCACCTTTAAGTTTGGCTTTCTTTTTGTCTTGTCTAAAAAAAAAGTAAAAATTGCATATTTTTTTTTTTCTTAAATCATGGGCTATTTTATAAAAATAATTCATTTGTTTTCATATTTCTAAATAAAAATTTAAATATCCAATATTTCTTAAATCTAGAAACCCGTAATTAAATGGGTTAATTTGAACATAAATTTATGTAAAAACTTTACTGTAAAAATAAAAAATGACAATTGAACAAAACACTGAATTGTGTTCTTAGTAAATAAGCAAGTTTTTGTGATAAAACAAAGGGACATAAATCTCCACAATTATTTCTAGTAAATTATAATCTTTAAAATAATATATATTTTATAAAAGTAATTAGCTATTTTCTTTGAGTTCTTCATATGCCGTAACATAGGGTAACTTTGGGACAGCAGGTAAAATTTAGTATGTGGTGATTCCATAGTGGATACACTTTGCTGGTTCATTTAGCATGGATAGTGCATGTACTGCGCTACTATCTTGAGACACAAGCGAAAATTTCATGGTAACAAGAATTTTGAAAAAAAACAAAAAACAATGGAAATAAATAAAATCTAACTACAAAACGAGTGTAGTGAGCTATGGTTCTCAAACTGCCTCTAGGTAGTAACGCAGTACATGCCTACACAAAGCACATTTTTGGATACTGGACCAATACAGAGTATCCACCATAGAATCACCACAAACCAAATTTTATCCTCTGTCCCAAAGTTACCCACACAGTACCACAGTTACCCCATCTTACGGCAATTCAATTTATTTAACAATTATGGTTATAAATTGCTATATAATAAGTATAAAATTTAATAATACTACCATTTTGGAAAATATTAATCGGATACCAAATATAGGTATTATCTATGGGCACTGTACGAACTTATATAGTACGAATCTTTTTTATTCTATTTAAAAATAAAACTATTATGATAAATGTTTTTTTAAATAAAATAATTATTGTGAGGTAGTTTTTGAATAAAAAGAAGAAAAAAAAAGTTCCATATGATATTTTGGAGTTCTGTGAGGAACTCAGTTGCATTAAGAGAAAGAAATTTGTATATATTTGATAAGGCGCTTTAACATTTCTGGTTTGGGTTCTAAATTCACCAGATAACTTCATGCCAAAATTCATTGAGCAAGATTCAAGACTTTTTCAAATGTTATTTTAAAAATTAAAAATGTGTGGGGTCCGAAAAGCCATGGTATTCGGAGGGCTAATATAATTTTTTTCTGTCAAAAAGATCAATGTGCCATTGAACCACTAAACAAAATGCTTCAGATAATGATAATTTATTCTATTAAAAAAATAAAATGAAACACTCTAATAGTAAAAATTTACTGTTTGGCAGGATTGAGCATTTTTTTTTTATCCATTATTATAATGATAAAATTCAATTTTTATTTATTTTGATTAAATTACCTTAAAGTTTTAATCAAGTTTAAACATTCATATTTATATATTAGTTTCATTTTTCTTCTTTTTAGGTAATAGACCCATAAATTATTTTATTTCTTTAATAAAATTTTTTATGAATGAATTTTCAATTATTATATATCATGCATCTATGTATTTTAATTTTAGATAATTTTAGCAATTACAAAAATTGTAAGTAAATAGCAGTTATGACTATTAAAATTGCACCAGGCTGTCTCCCACAACACGAAATAAACGCTAGACTTTATTTAAAATGAAGATAATGATTAATTATGTCACCTCTGCCTATGAATGATTTATTTTAATTTCCTTTAATATGTAAAATTTTATTCCTAGAAAATTTTAAACCATTATCATAAAAGGAAAAAACAAAACAAAAAAAAAACAAGAGTGCCACCGAGTAATGAAGGATGAAAAAGTAAGTAAGTGTCGATGGGCTAAGGTACAGGAAATATTCAAATGGAATTGGAATATTGAAACAGGAAAATGACGCTAGCAGCCTTAAAGCCCTGCCAAGCCTAGCAAACAGATCAACCTTAATATTAAGTTTCATAACACTTTCACAAAACCATATTGAAATTGCTATTTTTTTCTAAAAATAAAATAAAGTAGTAACAAATGATTCAAAGAGAAATTTGAAAATAGCATTAATAAATGAATAAAAAATGAAATTATATATATATCAACTTATATAGCAGAAACATTAAATATATACTAAAGAGAGGAAATTAGATATATTTGGGAGTTAGCCAGTAATAACTTTGTTTCAATAAGGACACATGTTACAAATTATTTCTATTATTTATTATTTTATATTTTAATTTTTTTTTTAATATATGACAGTTCCAATTCAGTTTTTCATTGAGAAAACCTGAATAATTTAAAATTTTATGTTCTACATGAAAAACTAATGTTTCTTCTATGCAAGGATAAATTTTTGTTTATTAAATTAAACAAACTCATAAAATAAAATGTAATTAGAAATATTCATTCATATAATTCATGAGGTTGATCTGCTTAATATATCTGCGACTCACCTGAATATGAAGATGAAAAGTACAAGGAGTGAGAAAAAAACAGCTACATTATCCATTGTACGTAGCATGACAAATAGCTGCCTCCTAAGATTAGGCATGAATCTCACTAGCTTGAGTATTCGAAGAAGACGGAATGTACGAAGAACACTCAAACCAGAGCTGCCTTCTCTTTCACCAAGAAATGTTTGTCCAAGCTCAACAACACTGCTTGTGAAAAAAATAAATTAATTGCGTTATAAAAAAATTAAGTAAATGTATTGCTATGATTTAGAGTTGTTTTAAATTATTGATCATTCTTGATAAATCAATAGGTATGAAAGCTGAAAATAAAATATTTGATGTTCACGAAAATATAGTTAAAAACAGGAACAATCAGTTTTAAATTTGTGTAAAATATTTTTAAATCATTCTGTTTTATAAAAAGTATAGAATAAATTGTGAATCATTACACAATGGTTTATTTTTCCAAACAGTTATGTATCATATGTTACAATACCTTCCTTATAACATAAGCAAATATAAATTTTATTTTTTTGCCTGATTTATTTATTTTTTTTTTTTCATCATTGGTTATTTACTAAGAAATATAGACAACAATCTCAATTGCTTCAGGTGATATAAGATTTTCCCGAAAGTCAAAACAAAGGATATAAGCTTTGCAGCAGAATGTGTAGAAAATATTTTTAACAACATAATATGTTTTTGTACCAATTGCCTGATTTCAACAATTTTTTAAAAAGAAATTTCGTAAACTTGAAAGTAACTTTAAAAAAAAAATTATACTTTTTGTCTTATTCAAAAATCTAATTTTACCACTCCTTTTAACATTTTTCCAACTTATTTTGAGTGAAGTATGTTATATGGATAAATTTACAAGACTTTGAAGGAGGAGACTTTAGCTAGAAGTAAGTTTCATTAAAATCAGTACATCCCTGTAGGTGCTACAGTCCTTAGTGATGTAGTTTTTCAGCCCCTATCTTGAAAAGAAAGGGTGGATAGTGATGCCAAGTTGCGAGGAGCATCCACAGGTGTCCTTTGACATTGACATCGAATCTCAAAAACATCAGTCCATTAGTCTTAAAGAAAAGCCGCAGACTGTGGACAGACTATGGGGGTTGGAAGATTTTTTTTTTTTTTTTTCAATTCTCGGATTCTATGTTTCTAGAAATATAAAACCTCAAATTTTGAAGAGATTAACTATTTTTTTCTACGTCAATTACAAAGGCTAATCAATAAAAATAATGAACCAAAATCAATTACTTTTTTCTTCAACAGCTCTATATTTATCCCATATTCAATTAACAAATTGGATTAATTAGTTACATACATGTTCACAACATAAAGTTATTATACATACAATATCATGTAATAAACTATGCTATTTCTACTGAATGAAGTTTGGATATTTACCTTAAAACTACAATAACGCCATCAAAAACATTAAATCCATTGCTGATGTATCCAAATGGTCCTTCGGCTATGACTTTGAAAAACATTTCTAGTGCAAAAATTGTAGAAAATACTATATTACTAGTTTCAACTACAGCCGTAAGCCCCTCAGGCTGAAAAGAAAAGTTTAATATAAATTTATTTCATCTGAAAACAAGTCATAATATAATAAACAATGACAAATTAATGCACAATATTTCATTCATAAACCAATAATTTTGAAAAACATATGTGTGATATATACTACTAGCTACAGGTATTCTAAATGTGATAAAAATATCGCAAAGATGTTTTCAAATGTCTATTTCGATTTACTCAATATTACAAAATTTCTTCAAAATTCATGAATGGCAACTATTTCACACATGATCAGCTTTTAATTTCTTTTGGTAATTCTTACTCCATTAATCCCATAAAATTGGTTCATACACACTTCATAAATTAAATTCCTTCAAATTCCATATTCAGAAACATTAGATAGAATGAAAAGGCAAACAACAAGATAATAAAACAAATCGATATAGGTTCACTCTTTCATTGCACAAGCATATTCAAAGTTCAAACATTACATCATTTTATGAAATACAACAATCAAAATAAAGTATGATGAAGTTTCATTAATAGTAAATATTGTTTTAGAATAATAATTATTCCAAAATTTAGATCTTATAATATAGATGCCAAATCTAAAAGAACAGTTCAGTCAAATAAAATAGAGTGATCCCGTATCAAAGATGAAAATTTTTCATTTTCAGAAAGTGCGGAAAAAGTCATTTTTATATAACCGGTTTAACTCAAACTGGTTCTGATAATTTTATCGTAGAATGTTCAAGTCAAATAATGACAAAAAATCATTTAAATTTGTTTAAATTGAAGTTATGTAACAAGAATTTTCTTTTTCTCAACTTTTTAAATATGACATGTCTGTCTTTGATATGAGGCCACTCAATTCATTTAACTAGTTGGAAACCAAAACAAGTCTTATTGTTTTCACTGGAAGATATACAGTCTTTCAGCCTATTTACTATTTACACCTACTAGAACACTTATTTACCAAAGTAACAGAATAGAAAAATAGAAGCTTTCTGATTGCAGAATATTCTAAAAGTTTTGCATATTTAACACCTTCTAAATTTAAAATAATAATAATCACAAATATTTATATTACCTGATTATGGTGTTCAATTCCCATACTCAGAGTATTGATAAGTATAGCAACCAATATCCCTCTCTGAAAATAATCATGTTCCACAACAGATTTGATCCATCTCCTGATTCCTGCCAAAAAGCAATGCTTAAAACATAAGCAGCCTTTCATTAGGCAGCCTATTTTTTTTCTTGGCAGTCTTTCACCCTTTAAAAAGAAAACAACAAAATATTTATTATGAATTTGTACATTAAAAATGCTGCAAATTATTACAAAATTCATTTTTTTTATTTAAAAATCTGTAATAGGATAGAAATTTACAGCTCAGAGGAACAACCTGGTGTAATTTAAAAAGTGCCAAATACAAAAGGTATTGACCCAGCAATTTAAGTAGATGGAGCGATTCTTTTTAAGATTTACTTATGAAATATAAAACCTTAAATTTTGAGAGATGTTAAACAATTTTTTAATTGATTATTTACAAAGGTTCAAAATTGAAAATAAACCAAAATTAATGTTAGTTTTATTATAATTCAAAAACACATAAATAGATCATTTATAAATTATACATAAAAACTTATTAAGTAGAGACTAAAATAATTTATTTTATATTTTCTTAAAGAATTATATGGTTCAAAGAAATGGAATGGATATCATTATAGTTTTGAACCTATATATATTATAGTTTATTTATTTATTTATTATAGTTTATTATTACCAATGTATATACAAACATTTACAAATTTCTTAGAACCAATTTTACTTCAATGTTTACACTGTCTAAAGTAATATTTATTGAGCCATCCGAAAATCCTCAAGTTTTTCTACCTATTAGTAAAACAAAAATTAAAACGAGTACCATTCATATGTGTTATTAAATTGTACATGTAAAACGCTTTGTGAGTCAAAGATTCAATTGCTAATTTTTGGTCAATTTTTATGAAACAAATCCAATTTTATTATCATTTTTTCCTCAGATACTTCTTTTTGATTAATTTTAATAGATATTATTTGAATTTTACACTTCTTAATAGCTTAGTTCATCTCTTTCCTAATGAATTATTGCCCAAATTTTCTAATAAATTATAAAATTTATCACTAACTTCCTATTGTTCAAAAACATAGCATAATCAGAGGCATTCATTACAACTAACTGGATAAAGCTGTACACAATCACAGTATATACTTGATCATGATATGAGTATCAATGATGAAACTATTCACAGAACATTGAGAAATGCAAGTTTGAAAGCTAGAGCTACAGGGAATAAGCACCAGTTGACTCAACGGCAAAGCAAACTGTTTTAATTTAAAAATAAAAATAAAACAGACATTGTTTTTCTCAAAAGTCCAGTACATAATATAAATAATCAAGACTCAAAAATTATAATATGATGTAAACGGATTTGTGAGTGAATATATTTTTTCCTAGGAGTAAGAATCAAAGTTCTTATCTGCCATGAAAAATGACATAAAAAATGAATTATGACAACAATCATAGAAATGGTTTCAATTTTTGTTTTTAATATAATGCTTAATTTTTTATATTTAGTAATCTTACAGTGTTTGGACGTAAGGCTAGCTCAGTGTCTGCCCATGTGAAGTGAGGCTGTAAAACTCCCTTACTCAGAGAGTTGAATAGGGAATCAAGAGCAGGCTGTCCAGTCGGAAGAGCAGCACTCAGAGCGCCGCTTAGCGCCAGCAATTCTTGGCAGGTCATAGCCTCAGTTCCGAATCCTGAGGTCTGGCAAAACAAGAAACATTTTATTGAGCAAATAATAAAATAAAAACATTGTACACATTCAGTTGAAGAAGACATGCATCCATACATTTATATATTTATTCCAGGAAAGTAGGATATAAACTGTCAGCTTAATTAAAACCTAAAAATAAAATAAAATCTATGCTATTAGATTCAACTTGAGTTTGATATTTTTTCATGCAGAAAATGACCTGAGTAAAAAAAAAAAAAAAATTCCATCAACATTTGACCTGGTTTAATTTAATATTTAATCAATGAACAGTACTTGTGAAAATCTTATAACAATGTTGATTTAAAACTATTGAAAAACAATTTTTTGCTATATCATTTCACAAAAAATTATAATTACAATAGACAATAATTTGTGCAAAGTAGTAGTGGGAGAAAAAATAAAATAAGTAGAATCAGTTGAAGAATTGGAACAATTGCTAATGGAAATCTCGTGCAACAGAACGATAGTGGAGAAATATCGATCTTCTATGTTTAAACTAGACCCACTGTTTATGACAGAATTGTAAAATGCTGTATTACTGTGAACTGTGAGTACAGCACAGAAATATCAAATTATTTTGAAAATATATTAATGTAATTTATATTTGACCAATTTTCTTTCCAACTACTGTTTATAATAAGAAACATACTTTGAGTGAAGTAAATAATGAAATAAATAAATAAAATTGACAAAAAAAAAAAAATTAGACTTAAGTCACATTGAAGTAACCATGGACATGATATTACAGAAATGTGTATTCTTAGTGGTGCTAAAGCTTAAAGCTTGTATGTAACAAATCGTTAAGATCATTAAAATAACAAAAAACATATTTATTATATCAACGGTAAGCTGTAAAACCTCGAAACTACAACTGTATTTGTAAACAAAATAACTCCAGTCTCTGGAAGCACATGGAGAAGGAAAAAAAATACTGAAGAACGATATATGGAGATGTTGATGAATCCACCTTAATAAAGTTATCAAGGCTTCGTTGGTTAGGCCATGTTACTAGGATGAAACCAAATGAGATTCCACATAAAGTCTTTTCAGAGTGTGTATATGAAACAAGAAAAATTAGAGGTTCTAAGCTTCGCTGGGAAGATGTAGTGACTACTGAGGCAAGGTGTCCGGAAATGGAAGGTAGCTAATTTAATGAGATCAAATGTTACCTGACATTGAGGTTGGAGACTGCCATCTCCTGCCTGTGACATTTTTTCAGCTGATGTCGGGGCTTCGCCATGAAGTAGGACTACCTCTGAAAACATTACACTGCTCCTTCGGCGACCAGGGCTCTCAGGAACTGCAAGAAGGCTTCCACCCTATTTAAAATATATATATATTATATACTAAATAGTTGAACATTTTGATAATAAAGGAAAATATGGTCTGGGTAGTGGAGGGAAATAATTCTCAAAAGTAGTAAAAACTATTTATTATAATTCTTGAACTGAGACATTAAGTTTAGTACAGGGCTTGAAACAAAAAAAAAAAAATTATTTTTAAAAAGTTTTCGTATCATTAGAATTTTTATTGTAGAATTTGTATACATTTTTAAAAACTTTTATTTAAAATTTTTGTCAATTTCACTGAAAAGTCTCTCTAAAAAATGTCTTTTATACATAGGTTCTCAAACAAACGATACGTTAGAATTGGGTATAATTCATTTAAGAATAACTATAACTTTGACCTAAGCCTAATTGCGGTTAATTTTTCATTCAGCTGAACTTTTTTCAAGAACTTCAATAAATACAAGTTAAAATTTTACCATAAAGCTGGAACTTTATTACAAAAAAATTCCTTACTTTTATTTTATATGTCTCACATCTTTTAAATGTCTCACAGAAACTGTTAAAATTAAACTTTTTATAAAAGTTCCATAACCAGTCCTATGCAATAAAAATAGTTAGTATCAGAAAAAAAAGAAAAGGAAAATACAAGAATTTATAATTCTGTTTTACATGGCATGGTCTTATGCTGTGATAAAATATGGATATTAAAACAACCTATGTTTTGATCCCCAAAATTACTGTAAGTAGAGAGAATTTCTGAGAAGCTGCAGCATCTCAAGCCTCCAATACATATATAATAGAGTTATTACAAAACTCCAACAGGAAAATAAAATAAAACTTGTATAAAATATTGAAACCAGGAGCCTTCAACAATTTGTTCAAGTAATTTCTTGCAGAGGCTTGGTGTTGGAAGGGAGCAGATGGAAAATTATGACAGAAACAATTATTATGGACTCGTTAGGAATCCTCCATTATCACACATATTGATTTAAGACTTCACTTATTTGATT